ATGCTTTCCAAGCACAGCAACAGGAGCTTTTAAGTGTATTTCTTACTTTTTCAAACACTGTTTAGTACTATAGTAGAGTTTAATTTTATTTGCCAAAAGATTAAATTTATTTGCAAAAAGATTTATTTTATTTGCCAAAAGGTTAAATTAATTTGCCAAAAGATTACATTTATTTGCCAAAAGATTAATTTTATTTGTCAAAAGATTAAATTTATTTGCCAAAAGATTAAATTTATTTGCCAAAAGATTAATTTTATTTGCCAAAAATTTAACTTAATGTGTCAATGCTATATACCAGGTGAAGTAATTAGCGCGATAAGAAAGATTTTTAAACTGCCTTGTTTGAAAAATTGCCTTTAAAATTTGACTATAAGGCAGCCGAATGACAGAAAATAAAGCGATAAAGCTGTTTTATGACTTCACCTGTTTATGCAGACAAAATTCATACAAAAGCTCCAATTTGCTGAGCAGTTATTAAAGATGACGCTTTTCCTATATTTTGTTATACCTTTCATAAGTAAAAATATTTTGTGAATATCACTTTTTTCATATCAATTATATAACATTTTTTGTTTAACTGTATTTTTGGAATAAACAAAGTTCTTTGTCCTTCTGTCAGTAGACTGTTTTTGTTACAAATAGTATAAATAAGCAATGTGAAATAAGGCAAAATTTGTTTTATTTCCAACTAGGGATGTTAATTTTTTTTCTTTTTCCGATCCCGGGATTTTCGGGATGGCGTTGTCACAATCCCGGGATCCCAGGTTTAGTCCGGGGATTTAGATATTTATTCCTTTCCAACAACTCGAGTCGAAAAAATTGCTTCTATATTGTTTGAGAAGCTCTCCTACTATGAAACAAATAATAAATAAATGGGCTTTTAATTTTTTCTCTCTGACCGCAGGATTTATTTTGAAGGACTTTGTAATTTCAAAGATATGATTAATTTCAAAAATTTTAAAAAAATCCAATGCAATGTAGAATAAAAATATGGGTAGCAAATTCAATAGGAAATTTCTTTAGAATTTAAAAAATTAGTTTTAGATTCACAAGGACGAATTGGTAATTTTTAAGCTGACAAAGTTAGAGGAACAAAATTCGAGTTTATATAAGCCCTTAACATATAATTTTTTCAAAAGCAAATATTGCAAAATTTCAAGGATAAAATTTTAAAATTACATTTTCAATATATTTGTCAATGTTATTGTGGCTTATTAACATTTAATTTTTAATATTTTTATTGAGCTTTGTACCACGATTGTTTTATTAGGAAAAATTGAAAAAGCAACGAAGTCTAAGCAGTAGAAGTTATAGCACTATTTCGGAGATCACCACATCTCCTCATCAGACTTCTTTTTTCTAGACCCTGCTGAAGTCTAGAAAAAAGAAGTCTTATGAGGAGATGTGGTGATCTCCGAAATAGTGCTATAACTTCTACCGCTTAGACTTTGTTGCTTTTTCAATTTTTCTTAATAAAACAATCGTGGTACAAAGCTCAATAAAAATATTAAAAATAAAATGTTAATAAACCACAATAACATTGCCAAATACATAGTTTAGGAAGAGCCTGCCTGAAACTATACTAAAAAGCAAAATAAGCAAATGGATGTATAGAATTGACAGCAACAACCACGCTGTCGAGTTTAAAACTATGTTCACATATCAATATTATCCCAATCAAAGCTCGTTTTTTAATCACCCCGTTTACACAGGCAAATCTCAGATAATTAGCCGTCAAATTTGTTGTGCTTGTTATTCTCACATCTCAAGGAAATGTTATGTTTCTTCTCTGTGCCACCGTGATCCCGTTTTTATGCTATAATAAGCAATATAAATATATTTTAACCTAACATTTTATTAAAAATACCTCTACAAACTTCTTTTCCTTGCTAGCGTGCAATTTTGTTTACTTTTACATTTGGCATTTCTCCTCTTTTTTTGCAAAAACAATCGATAAAACTAGGATGGACACCGACACGTTATCGGTTTAATCTGAGATTATTTTATAATTACAGATTAACAAGGGACGAATTTTATATGGCTAATCTATTGTTATAATTACAGATTAGGGTGTTAAGCTCGAAAATGAGGATAATCTACTTATATGTGAACCTAGTATAAATAGCGGCAAATCAACTGCACTTGATAGTAGTTGGTTGAATAAGGAAAATTAATTAGCAACAAGAGTTTACGGGATGTGCATAGCTCAGTGGTTAACGCTTCTGACTTTGAATATCGATTACGCAGGTTCGTTCCTTGCTGAAGTCTAGAAAAAAGAAGTCTGATGAGGAGATGTGGTGATCTCCGAAATAGTGCTATAACTTCTACCGCTTAGACTTTGTTGCTTTTTCAATTTTTCCTAATACATTTTCAATATTTAAAAGCCCTTCTGCACTATAAACTTGAATCTGTTTAAATTCTACAGGGTTTCCTCATTAATTTTATACCCATATTTCTTCTCTAAGCACATATCTCTGAATTTTTTAAATCATTTGTTTGCTTTTTGGAGTAGCAAAAAGGGAGCGCATGGTGCGCCAGAGAATATATTTTCTGATTCTCCGTGGAAATAAAAGACGAGGGATTTTAATTGTACAAACGAATTCATTAATGTTTATTGACTTGAAAAAAGAAGTCTGATGAGGAGATGTGGTGATCTCCGAAATAGTGCTATAACTTCTACCGCTTAGACTTTGTTGCTTTTTCAATTTTTCCTAATACATTTTCAATATTTACCAGCCCTTCTGCACTATAAATTTGAATCTGTTTAAATCCTACAGGGTTTCCTCATTAATTTTATACCCATATTTCTTCTCTAAGCACATTTCTCTTAATTTTTTAAATCATTTGTTTGCTTTTTGGAGTAGCAAAAAGGGAGCGCAGGGTGCGCCAGAGATTATATTTTCTGATTTTCCGTGGAAATAAAAGACGAGGGATTTTAATTGTACTAACGAATTCATTAATGTTTATTGACTTCAATCAAACTTCAACACGATATTTAGTAACGGTATGGTTAAACCGGTAACAAAGTTCGCCCGAGTGGCGTTCTGTGACAAAAAAGCAAAAAACGGTGCGATGCGGCTGCGACGGCGTCTAAAACGTTAATAATTCTAGCAATTTAATTGCAGGCACGAGTCACCCCGTGAACCCGCTTACAATTTCAACATGAAACCTAATTCCCCTGACTCATTCACAATGGTGTACAGTAAGTGGCGTTGCCAGCCGCACGCGGATTATAGAAAAACCTTAATGGAATACTTTACAAAGTTCTTAATCGAATTCGATTAAGTTGGGACTCATGTCCGCAACATGCCGGCCCGCCTGCCCCGGTGCCAGGTTGAGCAACTCTTGCAATTTCTCGAGGGTCAGCACCGCCCGGTTGAATAAATCGCGGATGCGCCGTTGGACCGCAGTATTGCCGCTGTGATCTTGCTTTGCGGCTGTTTGATCACACGGCTGGCTAGCTTCGATCGTCCACGGCGAACTTGTGCGGGCTAGTCAGTACGGCGAGTGCTTTCCGATGGTGATGATGGTGAACGATGCAGCATTGAGTGATGCGCCTTCCAACACCGATGACAGCTGTCGGCTGAGCTGCAGGAGCCGGTTGAATGCGACGTCGCCTAGCAATTGACGCAGTACTTTTGTATACGCGCAGACTCTTAGCGCTCATCAGGTGTCATTGCTTGAAATGCGCGGCAAAACAGCAACGCATGATGGCGGCAGCAGAGGCGGCACTGGCTGAGCTCCATCGTATTCTTGGACATCTGTGGAAAGAAGAACACACCGAAGACGGAATTAGTTCCATGCTATGGTGGAGTCAGCTAGAGGAAGGTGTAGGTGTGGAGTAGTAGGTTTTTAAGGAGGCATGACGTATGTAAAGGGAGTTACTACAAAGGGGGGCAGTAAGCACAACTTCGCAATATTTCGCGTGATTGTTCCGTCTTGAGTGTAAAGATCAGCTACGCGAACATTGTGATCATGACCGGGGTGAAGTTTCACAACGCGCCCGAGTCTCCACTCGTTTGGGGGTAGAAGGTCGTCTTGGTCGCTTCCACTTGTGCCTTTTATGGAGTTCCTTAAGATATAGAATAACCTTCAATTTTTGCCATTTGTTTACTAAAGACAGATTGTCAGAGTGGGGTTCAGGCCTAGAGAGGAGCGGGGTACCACGCAAAAAGTGTCCTGGCGTTAAAGCCAGCAGATCCGTAAGATCATGAGACAAAGGGGAAAGCGGCCTGGAATTTAACACCGCTTCAATTCGAATAAGGAGAGTGGTAAATTCTTCAAAGGTAAACTTGTGATTTCCGGCTACCTTTGTGAAATGGGTTTTGAAGCTTTTTACAGCAGCTTCCCAGAGACCGCCCATATGAGGAGCATACGGTGGGATAAACTGCCATGAAAATCTGTGGGTTGCGTATTTTTCGGCGATATCAGTAGCCGCTTCGTTAAGAAACTGGGAGAATTCTCTTTGCAGCGTTCGCTGCGCACCTACGACAGTTTTTTCGTTGTCGGACATGATTTTATGGGGGATTCCACGGCGGCCGACGAATCGGGTGAACGCTGCTTTGAACGCTTCAGTGGTTAGACTTGAGCATAATTCTAAGCGTACTGCTTTGGTGGAGAGGCACACAAACACACACACATACGCCTTTGCGTGGGGAGCTCGTCGGAGCGTAGATGTTTTCACAAGAAATGGTCCAGCAAAGTCAACACCTGTGGTATGAAAGGGGAGTGTATAGGTAGATCGTTCAGGGGGGGAGCGCGGCCATTATATGTGAATGCATCTTTTGTTTATAGATTGTGCATACCATGCACTGAAAAATACATTTTTTTATCTTTTGCTTCAACCTGGGGATATAATATTCTTGCTGCACCATTCGAATCATTAGTTGTTTGTCAGCGTGGATAAGAGTTGTATGGAGGAAGTCGAGCAGCAGAGCTGGGAATTTTCTGGAATTATGATCGTCTGACGTTCATTGTAACTGAGAGCTGCGTAAGCTAACCGTCCATTTACGCGCATAATTCCAGCTCGATCCACCATCGGATTCAGAGTCAGTAGAGGGCTTTTTTTTTCTAATAGATTTCCCTTGATTTAATGAGCTGATTTCGTTGATATAGTACGGGCTTGGGGTCTGACCGATAATACGTAGTTTGGCTTGATTTATTTCCTCGTGCGTTAAGGGGAGAGAAGTGGGTATCGGCTGCTTTCTCGCTGCGTTTATAAACCGATACATAAACGCTATTACTCGCAACGCTCGAGCAAAGGAGGAAAAACGCTCAAGTATGTCCACCGATTCAATCGTGTGCAGGGATTCAATACGTCGTTGTTCTGTGGGTGACGAATGTGGAGATGGGTTTTTTGGCCACGAAGTGGGGAGTTTTTGCAGCCATTCTGGGCCATTTCACCATAATGCGCATGTCGCAAGATCTTGGGGATGGCATCCGCGGGTGCCTAGATCGGCAGGATTCTCTGCACCAGGTACATGCCGCCAAGTGGCATTGCTCACATTTTGGAGTATGAGCGAAATTCTATTGGCAACATAAGTTTTCCAAGTGTGTGGCGATTTTTCTAACCACGCCAACACAATGGAAGAATCTGACCAGAGGTACAAATCATGAGCAGGCAAATCTTGTTGTGAGTGGAGTTGATTAACCAGCTTGGAGAGTAGGACGGCTCCACAGAGCTCAAGTTTGGGGAGGCTGACTGTTTTCAGGGGGGCTACCTTACTTTTAGCTGCGAGTATGTGTGACGAGAAGGAGTTTTCGTCAATTTGTACTCGGAGGTAGACACAGGCACAATAAGCTTTTTCAGAGGCGTCTGAAAACCCGTGTACTTGTACACGGTGAGTAGGGGAGAATTGCACCCAGCGGGGAATAACAATTTCATTAATCGCGGGGAGATTTTCGCGCAGAGTGTTCCATTTGTGGAAAGCGCCGGGTTTTACGTGCTCGTCCCAGTCAGTTCCTTCCATGCATAGTTGCTGAAGGAGCATTTTAGCGGAAATCATTATTGGTGTTAGCCATCCTTCCGGGTCAAACAATTTCGCTACCGCTGATAATATTTGCCTTTTTGTCCTCGAGTTGGCACCGGGAACAGGATCGTACGTGTAAGAAAAGGAGTCCGTTAGCGCGTTCCATTTTATGCCTAGCATTTTTGTAGAGCTAGTGTCCTGAAACTGGAGAAAATCAACATCAAGGACCTCGGAATCTGGGACTGATTCCAGGATTTTTGGGTGATTTGAGGTGATTTTTCGTAGTGGAAAACCTGCAGATTTCAGGGCGTCGTTAACTTGGGTTAATGAGCTTGTAGTGGACTGTATATTATGCCCGCCTAAGAGAATATCGTCCACGTATGTTTCGCGTAGGAGGATATTGCTGGCGAGCGGGAATTCGTCTTGACCATCCTGCGCTAACTGATGAATCGTACGGATTGCGAGATAGGGAGCGCAACTGACGCCAAAGGTGACTGTTTTCAGCCTAAAATCTTCTATGGGCTTATTTGGGGACCTACGAAAGACGATTCTTTGGAAATCTTGGTCTTCCTTGTGGACGAGAATTTGGCGATACATCTTTTCGATGTCGCCATTAAAAACAAACTTTTAGAGACGCCATCGGAGAATGATAAGCATCAAGTCGTTTTGAAGGGTTGGGCCAGTGTATAGTACGTCATTGAGGGAGTTTCCAGAGTGGGACATTCTGTCATCGGTGTGGGAAGGCGCATCACACAATGCTGCATCGTCCACCATCATCACCATCGGAAAGCACTCGCCGTATTGACTCGCCCGCACAAGTTCGCCGTGGACGATCGAAGCTAGCCAGCCATGTGATCCAACCAGCCGCAAAGCAAGCTCACAGCGGCAATACTGCGGTCCAACGGCGCATCCGCGATTTATTCAACCAGGCCGTGCTGACCCTCGAGAAATTGCAAGAGTTGCTCAACCTGGCACCGGCGCAGGCGGGCCGGCATGTTGCGGACATGAGTCCCAACTTAATCGAATTCGATTAAGAACTTTGTAAAGTATTCCATTAATGTTTTTCTATAATCCGCGTGCGGCTGGCAACGCCACTTACTGTACACCATTGTGAATGAGTCAGGTGAATTAGGTTTCATGTTGAAATTGTAAGCGGGTTCTCGGGGTGACTCGTGCCTGCAATTAAATTGCTAGAATTATTAACGTTTTAGACGCCGTCGCAGCCACATCGCACTGTTTTTTGCTTTTTTGTCACAGAACGCCACTCGGGACGAACTTTGTTACCGGTTTAACCATACCGCAGGCTCGAAGGACCATGCTTGCTTTTTGGAGTAGCAAAAAGGGAGCGCAGGGTGCGCCAGAGATTATATTTTCTGATTTTCCGTGGAAATAAAAGACGAGGGATTTTAATTGTACTAACGAATTCATTAATGTTTATTGACTTCAATCAAACTTCAAAACGATATTTAGTAGCGGGGGGTCTTTATTAGAGCACCAGAAGCCAAATCAACCATTTTTAGAATTTTTGTTGGTCTTTCTGTGTGTCTGTCTCTCTGTATGTTTGCACGCGCATCACTCGAAAACGAATGCATGGAATTGAATGTAGTTTTCTCCGGTGTATTGCTAGAGGTCTAACTTAAAATACAGGAAGAAAAAAATTAGAGAATTGCCACCTGTTTGAAAATTGCAGTTCAAGTAAATTGATAAGAAAAACCGAATATTTCAATATGGGCGTCAAAAAGGGACTTAAGAAGGCTTATAGCCAAAAATAGTTTTTTAGAGTTGCCACCTGTTTGAAAATTTTTATTTAATTTAATTTATAAGATAAATTGAGTACTGCAATTTGGGTATCAAACTGAAGAGCTTTAGGAAATTTTACTGCAGAAAATATTTTTTGGGAGGGTTGCCACCTGTTTGAAAAATTTTATTGTATTAAATTCATAAAATAAATGAAATCTATATCTATACTTATAATAAAATTGTAACAGGCGGATGTCTGTACCATATAGATATTAAAGAAAAATTAATATGGTGGGATTTTATTAGAGTTACCGAAGCCAAATTAACAATTTTTAGAATTTGGACTCTCTGTCTGCAGTTTAGGTCAACTGATACGGTAAAATAAATACTGCAATATGTCTGCCAAAAGAAAGGCTTACTGCTGAAAATATTTTTGTGGGAGGTTACCTATTTGAAAACCTTAATTTAATTTAATTGATAGCATAAATTAAATATTGCAATATTGGCATAAAACAAAAAAGGATAGGAAATTTTAATGCCGAAAATATTTACAGGGGATTTGTCAACTGCTTGAAAAATTTTATTCATTTAAATTTGTAAAATAAATGAAATATTACATGTACATGTTGCTAGAGCTCTAATTGAAAATATAGAATAAATTTTTTTGTTTGTTTAAGTTTATCATCGATCATTACTACTAGGTACTTGTATGTATTAACTTTTTATATTTAGAGTTAGCAACGGAGTGTTCTCAAAATTCCGGCTTGATATAACCACAAACTTAATTTTATTGACATTCAATTAAGTGTGTTCAAGCATAACCAATAGCACTTTTTTGGAACTTCTGTGTGGTTTTTCCAAAACAAATTAAAAACTTTTTGTTGTTGCTGAGAAAAAATTAAGAAGTCTCAGTCACGCTTTACAATTTCATACAGCTCTCTGTACAATGTATTTCACTAAACCACTAAACGGTTGCACCGATTTGGTTAATATTTGGAACATATGCCTTGAAAATAAATATTCCGACCAAAAATTTACTCGGTATGTAGCTCGGGATATTCCTAAAATTCTTATGCAGATTAAAATGTAAAAAACCAATATATCTCTAAAACCAATTACGATGGGGAACTGAAACTTTGCACTGATGCATATATTCCAAATGCATTGGAAAAGGGGGCGTGGCACCTTCCATACAAACTGAACTTCTCATATGGCTTATCTCTGGAATCGCTTACTCTAACGCCCTGCAATTCGACACGGCTACATATGTTATCAATACCGTACTTATGGCGAAAAGTGGTTTTAAGTGTTTTTAAGTTTTAGTGAAAGGTAAAGTTTGTGTGAAAATTTTGCAGAATATTTTAAAATTTTCACAAAGAATTGAGCTTTTTTTCGAGTTTCGCTATAGACCGTCCTATCTACATACCTATTTGTATAAAAATATATCCGTTTTCGTTGTTCTGGCTAAACTCAAAAACCACTGAATAGAGTTCCGTCAGATTTTCGGAGGTTATCTTACATTCATATATGGTCCTAAATATAACATGCTACTAGAAAACTCGCTAGGTGTTGCTGGAGTAGAGCTATTTATAAAAATCGTATTTATTAACCGATTTCGTTCAAATTGTGAATGTGAGCTATGTACCTGTATGATGGAAAATTCTTTTGATAAAAATTGACCCGATGAGTACCGCTGGAGTCGAGGTTGAAACTCGTAACACGTATTTATTTTATGGTAAGCAATGGTTTTGCAGAAAATGGACCGAAATGTATAGAAACCCCGCACAGTGCTGTATGAGCGGGCAAAAATCAAAAAAATTGTTGTCACGTATGTCAACGTGTTTGGTATCGTTGGAAAGGAAATTTATCCTAGATTAAGGATCTGGACTTAGTTTTTGTTTTTATCTCATAAGGTTCTCACAAAAACCTCTTAAAGTTGTGTGTTTTTTATATATTTTTTCTTTTATGAAAATGCCTTTAGCTGGAGTCTTTAAAAAAAAAATTGCTAAAAATACAATTTATCATACTTTATCTTAAGACACAATTTTTCTAATTAGAAAATCTGTAAGGAAACCACTCTATAGAGCTTTTTAAAAAATGTTGAGTTTCCTTGCTGGAATGGCCTATTTGCTACACTCCAAAATTTGTTGCAGAAAATTTAAAAAATTCCTAAGTTTACAAAGGGATAAAAAAAAATGTAAAAGTATGTTTTTTTTTATTCTTTTATTTGAAAGAAGGGGCATTTTTCTTTGAAATAAAAAAAAAAGTCTGGAGACTCATTGCGCTTTTCGAAGAAAATCGTTTTTTTTTTTAAGGTTATAAAATAAACTTTTGCAAAAAAAAAATTTCACTGATTACAGTTACCACAGTATTTTCCATTACTTAAATGCCAAAACATTCTTTAAAAATAGTAAAGTTTATTACTGTAGACACACGCGGTAGTGTTCTGTGCGGTGTAGTGAAGCGTAAAATAGTGAAAAAACTAATATTAATATGAATTCAATTATAAAAAACTCAATTTTAGCTGATATCTGGATTTCTACTCGTCCATCAGATAGAGTGTCTGCATTATCTGCATTTTTTGAAGACAAATTAATACACGCTAAATGCGACAAAGCACTTTTGAATCAAAAAATAAAACTTTTTAATAGTGAGATGAAAAATAAGTGGAATTATAGTGGCCGCAAAAGAAGCGCTTTTGAAAAAACATATTCTAAATGGCTAAATTGGACATTCCTTTCCCTTCCGGATTCCAATGGAAATAAGGATAAATGTGCTGAGCGGGGAAGACCTTCTAAAGAAGAATTTTGCGAAGCTTCACGGAGAACAAAAAATCGAAGGGTAGAGCATTTGTTGAAAAACTATTCCATCGAAGAGCTCGAGTATGCTCTGAAAAAAATGAAAAAAGCAAGCAAAGTTGAATGTTTTGAAAGTAGTACCGAAGGTTTGCCGATATCTGATTCACTCGCACTATACATAGATCTGAACTTATCAGATCGTAAATATAATAGTTTACATGCAAAAATAAACCGGTTGCATAAAGATTGTATACCGAGCTTAAACGCATTGCAAACAAAAAAAACAAACTTTGCTGCCAACGATTAAATCGACTGAATATTCAGCCGAAGTTGATCTGAAATCATTATTGCCTAGCAGCTTGCATAAAATATTGATGCATGGGTGTGAGGTTATTGAGTGTTTCGATCTACCAATTGGTAAGAAAATCGATTTGTTGCTATTCGGCATTTTTTACTACTAGGAATTTATTCCCACAGGCAATTTTTCAGAGGAAGCTCTGGAAGCTTTACATAAACACATACGTATCGTACGATATGATCATACACGTAAAACAGCTCGGGAGCATACAAACAGAGACTTGATGTCATACTTAACAATATCATCAGATCCTGAAGTAGTTTTTAAAAGGAGTGCTATCCCAAACAAAAATGCAGTTTATACAATGGACGAGCTGGAAGAGTATTTAGTCGATGCTGAAGAAACTTAAAAGTAATAAGTACCCTTCAGTCAACTCAATTAGTTTTATACTAATCAAATACTAGTCAGCCACACGGTCTCAACTAGTTCGAGTTCTGTAATTTTTCCATATAAGCAACTGGCCGCGGCGATGTCCTACGAGATGGCAATTGTCCTCTTCTGCATCAGCACTATACCAGTTGGCATACTAGTCAGCCTCTGCATCAGCAATATATCAGTTGACATACTAGTCAATATATACATCAATATCATACCATTTAAGATACTAGTTCGTATATACGTCATGATCGTACCTGTTGGCATACTAGTCATTATATACATCAGAATCATAGCAGTTGACATACTACTCAGTCTATGCGCCA